AACATCCCCTAACATGTCCACTGTAGGAATGTTGTACTTGACTGCAGTTTTACATCTCACAATCTAGTGATTGGAATGCTGAACAGGGGCAGAACTCTATTCTCATCTGTGCTTAGGAGAGCAACTTTATGTTAGCTTATTATTGGGTTTGACACTTTAAGTGCAGTTTTTAAGTCTCTTGAAAGGTGTCAGGGACTTGCAGGAGGCTGTTGAGTGTGCACTGGGGAGGAGAGGGGCTGGAGTCTGACTCGGAAGAGGGGAGCCGTGGTTCGTGGGGACCTGCACCAGCCAGGAGCAAGAGTTGGAAGCATGAAAAGCTACAGAGCTGGAGGAAGAGGAGGAAGAGGCAGGTCTCACAAGTCCTGAAAGACCCACATTGGTTCCCAGTACGTTTCCGAGCACATTTCAAAGTGTTGGTGCTGACCTTTAAAGCCCTAAACGGCCTTGGCCTGGTGTACCTGAAGGAGCATCTCCACCCTCATCGTTCAGCCTCACTGAGGTCCAGCTTCTGGTGGTTCCCTCACTGCAAGAAGTGAGGTTACAGGGAACCAGGCAGAGGGCCTTCTCAGTAGTGGCGCCCACCCTGTGGAACGCCTTCCCATCAGATGTCAAGGAAATAAACAACTATCTGACTTTAGAAATGTGTGCAGCCCATCAGGGGAAGCACATCAAAGTGCAAGTAGATAAATAGGTACCACTCCGGCGGAAGGTAAACGGCGTTTCCGTGCGCTGCTCTGGTTTGCCAGAAGCAGCTTAATAATAATAATAATAATAATAATAAATTTTATTTATATCCCGCCCTCCCCAGCCAAAGCCGGGCTCAGGGTGGCTAACAACAATAAAACAGTATAAAAGTATAGCATAAACAACACTCTAAAATCATTCATTATAAAATTAATTAATTCAGGCCACTGGCAACCATTGGGCCAGAGCTCCGCGAAGATTGCCGAGGGAGGGAGTCAGGCTGTGCCCTGGCCAAAGGCCTGGTGGAACAGCTCTGTCTTGCAGGCCCTGCGGAAAGATGTCAAGTCCCGCAGGGCCCTGGTCTCTTGTGACAGAGTGTTCCACCAGATCGGAGCCACAGCCGAAAAAGCCCTGGCTCTAGTTGAGGCCAGCCTAACTTCTCTGTGGCCTGGGACCTTCAAGATGTTTTTATTTGAAGACCGTAAGTTTCTCTGTGGGGCATACCAGGAGAGGCGGTCCCGTAGGTACGAGGGTCCTAGGCCGTATAGGGCTTTAAAGGTTAAAACCAGCACCTTAAACCTGATCCTGTACTCCACCGGGAGCCAGTGCAGCTGGTGTAGCACCGGGTGAATGTGATCTCGCAGCGAAGACCTCGTAAGGAGTCTCGCTGCAGCATTCTGCACCCGCTGGAGTTTCTGGGTCAGTCTCAAGGGCAGCCCCACGTAGAGCGAGTTACAATAATCCAGTCTGGAGGTGACCGTCGCGTGGATCACAGTGGCTAGGTCAGGGCGAGAGAGGTAAGGAGCCAACTGCTTAGCTTGGCGGAGATGGAAAAATGCCGCCTTTGTTATAGCTGCAATCTGCGCCTCCATGGAAAGGGAGGTGTCGAAGATTACACCCAAACTCTTAACGGACGGTGCTGGCACTAATTGCGCCCCGCAAGAGATGGGAGTTGCCCCCAATCCCATATCGCCCCGTCCCAGCCACAGGACCTCTGTCTTCGAAGGATTTAGCTTCAACCGGCTCCCACGTAACCATCCAGCCACAGCTTCCAAACATCTGGTCAGTGTGTCTGGGGCCGAGTCAGGATGGCCATCCATCAACAGATAGAGTTGGGTGTCATCGGCATACTGATGGCAACCCAGCCCAAAACTCCGAACAAGCTGGGCGAGGGCGCATAAAGATGTTGAAAAGCATCGGGAGAGTATCGCACCCTGAGGTACTCCACACACCAAGGAGTGGCGCGATGACAATTCCCCCCCAAGCGCCACCCTCTGTCCCCGACCAGAGAGAAACGAGCGCAGCCATTGAAGGGCTGTGCCCTGGATTCCCACGTCGGCAAGGCGGTGGTCCAGAAGTTCGTGATCGACCATGTCGAAAGCTGCTGACAGATCTAGAAGAATCAGCAGCCCCGACCCGCCTCGATCCAGCTGTCTACGAAGATCATCTGTTAGGGCGACCAGAGCCGTCTCGGTCCCATGACCAGCGCGGAAGCCGGACTGGAATGGATCCAGAGCCGATGTTTCATCCAGAAACCCACCAAGCTGTTCAGCAACCGCTCTCTCAATCACCTTACCCAGGAACGGAAGATTCGAAACCGGGCGGTAATTGGATAGATCTAAAGGATCTAATGATGTTTTCTTTAAGAGCGGGCGCACCACTGCCTCCTTCAGTTCCCCTGGGAATGTCCCCGTGCCAAGGGACAAATTGATGATATCCCCCAGGAGGGCCCGCACCTCGTCTGGACACGCTCTAATCAGCCAAGACGGGCACGGGTCGAGAGGACAGGTGGTGGGCTTTCCAGCTCGGAGGAGTCTGTCCACATCGGCTGGGGATATCCGGTCGAAGTGGTCCAATACTGGACCCGAGGACAGTCGAGGGGCCTCCAGTTCCTTTATTGTATCCAAATTGGCAGGGAGGTCATGGCGGAGCAACAAGACCTTCTCCGCAAAAGCGCGCAAATGCCTCACAGCTAAGTGTCAAATTGTTATTTAAATTTGGCTGTCCCTCAAGGGACGTTAAAGACCTGATTATACTAAATAATTGCGCTGGGCGAGAGCTAGCGGATGCAATGGAGGCCGAGAAGTATGACTTCTTAGCAGCCTTCACCGCCATCTTGTAGGTTTTCATAAAAGCCCTATAAGATGTTCTTGAGGCTCCGTCACGGGCACCCCGCCATACTCGCTCTAGCCGTCTGAGGTCCCGCTTCATTTTCCGGAGCTCCTCGGTAAACCAGGGAGCCCGGTTTCTGCGGGGTCGCAGAGGGCGCTTAGGTGCGATCTCATCGATGGCTGCCAGGAGCTGGGTATTCCAGCCCTCAACAAGCTCAGTCAATGAGTCGCCAGGGGAGCAAGGTCCCGCAAGGCTTGGCGGAATCTATCAGGGTCCATCAGCCTCTGCGGGCGAGCCCAAATTGGCTTGCCACCTAAGCAGGGTGGGGGCGGAAAGTCAATCCTGGCTTTCAGAGCGTAGTGATCAGACCATGGCACCTTCATCGAAGGAGACATGATCACATCTATACCTACGCCAAAGATCAAATCCAGCGTGTGGCCTGCTTGATGTGTGGGGCCCGAAACAAACTGGGAGAGCCCTAGTGTCGCCATGGAAGACACCAGGTCCAGAGCCTGTGAGGAGGGAGTGGCATCAGCATGGATGTTAAAGTCCCCCAATACCAATAGGTTAGGGAACTCCAAGGCCCAGCCGGCCACCGCCTCCAATAGGCCTGACAGGGTGGCTGCTGGTGCGCTAGGTGGCCGGTACACCAGCCAGACAGCCAAGCTCTCCTCGGAGCCCCACACTAGGCCAACACATTCAATGCCGGGGATCGATGGCGATGGTAGAGCCCTGAAAGGACAATCTTCCCGGATTAATAATGCCACCCCCCCCCCGGCCCACAGTCCGCGACTGGTGGAGGACGGAGAAACCCGGGGGCGCCATCTCTCGTAAGGTAACTGTTGCCCCTTCACGCACCCAGGTCTCCGTCACACAAGCCAGGTCGACCCCTGCGAGATAAAGAAATCTCGCAGGGTGGCGGTTTTATTGCCTATAGACCTGGCATTGCACAGCACCAGTGACGGAGGTGAGTAATCCTTGCTCACCCTACCCTCGTCCCTCGGGATGGGGCGCAGATTGGAAGGGGTACGAGCGTATCCATATCTCGATCCCCTTCGCCTATAACATCTGCCCCCACCGCCATACCTCCCTCGCCCCTCCACGGTAGCAATCCCAGGCCTCATAGTAGCCTCCATTGATGGCAATTAATGTTATTCTTTCGCAGCCTAAAACAATAAAACCTTAAAACAATAAAAACAAAGACAAAAACAACCCAGAAAACAATAAAACAATACAAATAAAAACTGCAAAAATTACAAATTCATCAAAATCTAACAAATTCCCAAGCCCACCCAAACATCCATCCCACCCCCATATATAAAAAATCTAAAGGGAAAGGAAAATATTTTTTTAAAAAAAACATGTTAAAAAGAACTCTGCACCCCTACGGGTCCTCCTGGGCAGTAGCAGCATCAGTGGCAACAACCATCCTTGTGAGGCCCCACCCTGGGCCAGATAGTAGGTGGCAGGAGCAGTCCTTGTGAGGCCTGTCAGGCCCTCCCTGGGCCAGGTGGTAAGTGGCAAGAAGGAGCAGGGCCCTCAGGCACTCAGACAGGGGAGTCCTCCCAGGCAGCAGGCAGCAAGCAGTCCTTGTGAGGCTTCAAGCCCCGCCCCAGGCCAGATGGTAAGTGGCAAGAGCAGGGCCCTTAGGCACTCACCACAGGGAAGTCTGCAAGTTGTTCTTTTCTATCTTCTGCTGGAGTATCTCCATGTTGGCCACATGACCCGGAAGCTGTATGCTGGCTCCCTCGGCCAGTAAAGCGAGATGAGCAGCGCAACCCCAGAGTCTGCCACAACGGGACCTAATAGTCAGGGGTTCCTTTACCTTTACCTATAATACTTACATCATAGGAGTCTACACAACACTAAACTCTGTTGTATGTAGAATTTTTTTGTTTTGTTTTTTATCTTATATTTTGGAAATGTACATCCAGGTTTCTTCCCTTTAAATTTTTTGGGGGTCCCCCAAGAGAGTGGGGCCCTAAGCTACAGCTTGTTTAGCTTATATGTAAATCCGGCACTGCTCATGCCTGCATTACAGGGTGCCCCCTAAACATTTGGCGTGTACCTTCTCGTAATGTAAGACCTAGCCGTGGTGGCTATGTTCTGCCTTCACTGTCGGAGGCAGTATGTCTCTGAAGACTGGGAACTGCAAGTGCTGAATGTGCCATTGTGCTCATGTCCTCCTTGTGAGCTTCCTAGGACAGCTCAGTTGGTAGAGCATGAGACTCCTAATCTCATGGTCCCCGGTTGCTGCAACTGCTCCGTAGAAAAGATGTGTTGGGAATAGTCCATTCCACCTTAAGGAGCAGACATGGATCTGTTGCGTGTCACATGTCTGTTTACATTTCAGCATAGCTTGCTGGGAACTTCCGTTGTGTGTATTGCTTTTGCTTTTCTCTGTCTCTCTGAGAAGATGAAGAGAGAAACGACATGTTTCTTTGTCCTGATTTATGATTAATAAATCTGTGGTTGTAGTATGCTTTCACAAGCCTCACGCCTATTCTGTTTTCGCAGTTCGATCTGCTGACATAGTGTGCGCTGGCTTTGAAGCCCGGGTGGCTGATTTAAATCAGAGCAGAGGCCGATGGGTCTTCGCAGCGTGACGGTTGGAAGGAGACAGCCCAGCTGGGGCTAGCCAGCTGGCCTTATGGCCCTCTGCATGTCGACATGTTGAACACAGACCTGGGAATAGATGCCTAGATTGGGGTGTGTAGGTCTTCAGAGCTTCAGAAGCGACTGCGTTATCTTTGACAATAGAGAGTTAACTCTCTGCTGTGTGCATTCCTTGGCTGGGAAGCATCCTTGATGGAAGATCTTCTGATGATAATAAGACTACATAAATATTATTAACTATTTCAGATATTAATAATTGTAATGTCTGAACTTAAGAACCTAATGTGGCTTTTCTTCATCTAGATGCAACATGGCTATGGACTTCAAGGTGATGTGAAATGTTATCTCAAGGCAGTTTCGCTATCTTCGCATGGCTGTCAGAAAGGATAAATATTGCCCTTTGAAAGTTTGGCATGCCGCCGGACTGTATGTCTATTTACTCAGAAGTAAGCTCCACTTCCTTTAGCTGGATTTCTTCCCAGCTAAACATGCATGGGATTGAAACTTTGACATACTGTGACCAATGAAAGATGCAAAGATGTGGCAATCACATTTTTTCCGGCTTAATATTTCATTTTAATTAAGGGAGGATGGGTCTTAATGAGCCATGGAATACGTGCCAACATTTGCATGCTCTTCTCAGAGATGTATAACTTTTAAAGTGCACTGACTATTAATAGTGGGCTTAATTAAAGCTTGCTTACATAGATAAGAAATTGCATCAGCTTCGCATGAATTGTGTCTTGTCTTAAGTTATTGCAGATGGAATATAAAGGTTTGGGTGATGGAGCAATATTTTATTTCTTTTTTAATTAGGATTTTCAGGTTTCAGTATTTTTTTAAACAAATAAGTTTCTTTTCTTTCTTTTTTTTAAATCACTGACATCCCAAGGCTAAGACAAGCATGAAGAAAAGCTGTAGAACATCCCACCCTGGACTATGGAGTATGATATAGAGTGTCCAACTAGGACCTGCGAGACTTAAGCCAGGAAAGGTGTGATATAAATGTAATACTTTGTAAATAAAGGAAGGGAGAGATCTATGGCTAGTATATTATGTCAACAATAATAAAAAAACAATAACAATTGATTATTTATACCCCGCCCATCTGGAAAATGGAAAAAGTGATGGATAATAACTGTTTTTTTAATGCTGTATTTTAAACCCAAGGCAACAGATTTTGTGCTTGATAGTGAGCATGCAAATATATGCAGTCCTGCTTCTCCGGGAAATGGCTTCCTGTTGCAGCTCACACTTTGCACTACCTCCAGATAGGTTGGGCATACAGCAATAGCTTAGACTCTATAGAGTTAGCTTGGTATTTCCCACAGTGGAATCCAGCATGGGCTCCCCTAAACTAAGTTTTACAGTGACAGAGCAGGATCCGCTCGATCCTAGGCCAGGCCAGTTCCCATAGAGGGATTCCAACCTGGAGCTCATGTAGTCAAAAATGACAATGCACACCAACTTCCTCCGTTGCCAGTGCCAGCTTGCAGGTCATTAGATGTCAGAATTGATCCTCTGCTCTGCTCTGCCCCACTGCTCCCAGCCAGGGTTTAAGATTATTCTATAAAGTTGTAAGCCTATATAGGTAAAAAGGTAAAGGACCCCTGGACGGTTAAGTCCAGTCAAAGGCGACTATGGAGTTGTGGCGCTCATCTCGCTTTCAGGTCGAGGCAGCCGGTGTTTGTCTGCAGACAGGTTTCTGGGTCATGTGGCCAGCAGGACTAAACCGCTTCTGGCGCAACGGAACACCGTGATGGAAGCAAGAGCGCATGGAAACGCCAGTTACCTTCCCGCCGCAGCAGTACCTATTTATCTACTTGCACTGGCGTGCTTTCAAACTGCTAGGTTGGCAGGAACTGGGACAGAGCAACGGGAGCTCACCCCATTGTGGGGATTCAAACCACTGACCTTCTGATTGGCAAGCCCAAGAGGCTCAGTGGTTTAGACAACAGCACCACCTGCATCCCTATATACCAGGCATAGGCAAACTCGGCCCTCCAGATGTTTTGGGACTACAACTTCCATCATCCCTAGCTAACAGGACCAGTGGTCAGGGATGATGGGAGGGACATGTTTGCCTATGCCTTCTACATACCTTACCTATATACATTACCTGTGAATAAGCCTCACCAAACTCAATGGGGCTTACTTATGAGTAGACATGAACAGGGTTGATTTTTAAAGGAAGTTTTTGATTTTGCCAAATTTTCATTGACACACGCCCCTTACAACAGGGATTGGTTAATCTGTGGATCTTCAGGTGTTGTTGGGCTACAACTCCCATCACCCCTGACTATTCACCTTGCTGGCTGGAACTGATGGGAGCTTGAGTCCGCATTTGGAAGGCCACAACAGGATAGTCACCCTTGACTTGCAACCTGACTGATTTCAGAAGTCATGGTTATAAAGAAGGCAGAATTCAGCATGAGGTTAAGTTACATATTTTTAAACCCATGCTTTCTAAAATGTCAGGGGTAGAGCATGTGGCCTATAAAGATTTGCCCTTATAAATCCAAGCAATAAAATCAGTTTACTGAATGTTGTGGCACATGATCCAAGCTCTAGCATTCAAATTCTAGGAACAAATTGACCAAGGGTTGTACCCAATGATGTAGGAGCAGAGTTCTGCTAACGTAATTTCCCCTACCTCTCCCCATGTGCTCCGAGAAGTTGCCTCTGCAGCAGATTTTGAGGGTGCTCAGACGGCTGCAGGTAAGAGGAGGGGAAATCTCCTTTGCGCAAGTTGAAGTCTGCTGTGCTAGTGGAACTGCAGTATTTGGTACAATCAGGCTTGACCCAAGCATGAGACATCAGAATCCACAAGGACAGCAGATCCAGACTCCAAGGAATGCACAGCAATTGCTGTGGCATGTTCCTTGGAGGTTGGATCTGCCTCTTCCTTGGCAGCCCCCTGTTAAGGAATGCAGCAAATGGGTTAGTTTTCAATGTGCAGAGACTGCACATGCCCTACAAGGCACCTTCAGGCATTTGTTATCTGTGTTACTGGGCAGATTTGGCAAGTAACTCTGTGTATAAAAGGGCTCAGGTTACAGCATACTGTGTGGGTCCTGGTAGGGGATTGCAGGAACTATGGAAGGCTATATGTTGGAACTGTGGATTCGAGTGAAGACTTTTTGAAGAGATACCGTCTGAGGAAGAAGTTGGAAAACAGCCAAACTTCAGAACTCAGAGAACTCTGTCAGTTGCAGGACTTTGCAAGCAACTGAATTAAGGACTTGGCTGCGGACTAGAGCACAGCAAGGACTTTGATGCAAAGAACCCTCTCTGGGCTCAGAGAGAGAAGACTACTTGTAACATCTGTAAAAAGTCTGTATATGATGGTGTTGACCTAATAGAGACAACTCTGCTAAATGGTTGTTTGCTGTGGTGAGCTTAACCTCTTGACTGAGCACATACATCTGTCACGGGCCAGGAGTCGGCTTCAGCAGCTGAGCAGCAGCCTGAAGGAGCAAAAGGCAAAGTGACTCCACTCGCTGCTGATCAGCCTTCTTGCTCCTGATGTGAACCAGCTGGCTCCAGGTTTCTCAAGAAGGGTTTCCAGCCTCAGTCAGTCACTGGAAACAACATTTGTCGTTCCTGGCCAGACCTTGCTGCTTCTTGCTTCTCATGACCTTGGACCCTTGGCTTACTTGACCCCCGGATTGTCTGACTATGTGAACTGAGATACTCCTAACCTTAGGACTGGACTGAACCTTGCATGTGGACTCTGCCTCCAGGCAAGTACTCCTCTGAGACTCAGCTGGTTGGCTGGCTTCTTCCTTCACTGAGCTCTGCCGTGGCTGGCAGGATGGGACTACTGCTGGATAAATCTTTCAAGCTCTGATGGATGATTTAGAAGGATTGGTTCCCTTTCGCTGTGCTTGTGTCCCAGTATCCATACTCAGCAGAGTTGCATCTCAACGCAGCTCCTTCTTTGGAAGCATCTTTGGGGTTGAAGGTACACACAGTCAGCAATAAACACTCAGGGATGCCATAAAGATTCAGTCAAGCGTAGAGGCATAAAAGCATATTGGTAGCAAATATATACAGACATTCACCATGGCCATGGTGAAGAAGAAGAAGAAGAAGAAGAAGAAGAAGAAGAAGAAGAGGAGGAGGAGGAGTTTGGATTTGATATCCTGCTTTATCACTACCCTAAGGAGTCTCAAAGTGACTAACAATCTCCTTTTCCCTTCCTCCCCCACAACAAACACTCTGTGAGGTGATTGAGGCTGAGACACTTCAGAGAAGTGTGACTAGCCCAAGGTCACCCAGCAGCTGCATGTGGAGGAGCGGGGACACGTACCCGGTTCACCAGATTACGAGTCCACCGCTCTTAACCACTACACCATGCTGATCAAGGCATGCTGGTCCAACAAGGCTCCAAGGCTCTCTCTCTGCTTCCCTCACCACAAGACGCAAACAAGAGACTCACAACAATTACAAGTTACACAGAACCATTGTTACCAGTACTTCCTGTCACACTGCGCATGTCCAAAGAACAGTTCCCACAGAAAACGTCCTTGCATAGGCAAAACAACCTCAGCCTTCTGCTGCTTCCTGAAACTTCTCTGTTCTTCTTTGTTTCTGGAACAAATGATTTTCATGCACACAGAGAGAATACCCAACAACTACGACAACATTCAAATCACAG